CAAAATTCTCAATTTGGTATTAATTTTAACTGTTTAATATGATGCTAGAATAGTGAATTCTCTTAAGTGTGTTTATTTATTTATTTATTTATTTGTTTCCAGGTTTGGATTGAAAGTGTATGATTTGTAAAAGTATCATAGTAGCTATTTTATGACAGATAAGTATAAGTTCTGATTAATAAAATAATTCTTAAGATTATGTAAATTATTTACTTAGCTATTTATAGGCAATCAAACAGAAATTCATATATATATACTTAGGCTATGTTGTTCAAAAGATTATTTGTTAAGAAAAAGGAAACATTTTATTAGTAGATCTACTATCCTATAATTTTATAGCAAATCAATATTATTATGACCAACCAATCAATTCTATAAGTTCGAGTGTTAGACAAATCCAACTGTTATTAGATTTACCTGGCCGTTTAATTATTGTTAACCTAAGTCCTTTGACAAGTTAATTTAAGATTAAAATGGTATTGAAGATTTTTTTATCTTAAAACTTATATACTGTACATTATCGTTAAATGTGGGAATAAGCTAACTTTATTATATCTACAAGAAACTAAGTTCTCTGATGAAGTTTTTTCAATAGATTCAACTGTTAAAGCAGAGGCTGCTGCTACAAACTCTAATATTGTTCATGGTTCTATGGCAACTGAGATCTTACTAGTCAAAGATAGACCTAAACAGGTTAGGAATTATTTTATTGTTAAAATTTTTGGTTAATCAATTATTTAGATTATTATATTTATATAATAGTGAAAAGAAGTGTTGAAACTTACAATGCAAAGAAAACTCTACGGTATTTATATTCCACTAAGACATATTATAGAACAAAAAATTGTGTTCAAGGTAAGTAATCTTTATAAGTATTACTATAAGTCTTATGTTGATACATTCATTTATTCAGGTACAACATTTACCGTCTTTACTATCATCTAATTTTGGATTAGAAATCTTGATAGGTAAAGATGAAATGATCGATTTTGAAGATTTCTTAGGCAGTACATTTCACTATTAAGCCAACAAAATTAATTGTTAGTTTCATAACTAAGCTAGTCCAAAATTTGAAATATAAGAAAATTTTTTGTTAAAATTAAAAAAAAACTGGTCAGTCTGGGTTTGTTTCGAAATTTTCTTGATATAAAACCCATGAAATTAACTTCGTATAATATATATATTTTGAATTTTTTATATATAATTATTAAATGATTGTTATTATACTTAATTTAAGAGATATTAGTAACTAAAACAACTCTTTCTGATGATCCTTTTTACCACAAAAAAAAAAAAAATCCAAAAATTCTTAAAAAACTAGCGTCCTTAAAGATTGAAACAGACAGGGAAGAAGTCCTTAAGCTCTGTAACTTGGCAGTTGTTATTTAGAGGTAGTTCTCATATGCTACCTGCTAACTTTCTTAGAGTTTATCACTTACTGCAGCCTCTGCTTTAACAGTTGAATC